TTCGAGTACAACTATTTTTCCCTCTAAATGGTTGATTTATAGAGTTTTTATTAGAGAACTTCATTAAATATTTCTTTTTATGATCTAATGCCTCAAAAATAAATATATTTATCATACATGCTTCATCACATATGATTGTCTTGCTTGCTGGATTTGTTCTGCTTTAAGGCTCCCTTGTTTGATGGCACATGTTGAGAGGTAAAAGCAATGCTGCAGTCTCACTTGATGCGACATTCAAGACAACCTTACCATTTGATCTCATGGAAGCAGACAGTAATTTCGATATAAATGTTTTTCTAGTTCCATTGTAACTGTATACAAAAAAGAATCATCATCTTTCAACTGTCACAACTTCTATTATTTCATTGTATATCTTCCAATAATCTTCATTCATCGTAGATATCTCATTAGATCATATGAAAATATTTCTTTATCATAGGTCAACTTCTCAACTAAGAAATTATTTTGAAATCTATTTAGTAGACTGTCATCTAGAAATGACATCCCATTGAATGCCCTTAAAGATCGTCCGTTTCAATTATTATTTTAAAGGGATATTATCTTGATATACATCCTCTCCAAAAAGAAACAAAAAAGGTTACCAAAAAAGGTTACTAAGAGGGTGTTTGACAGTGCGCTGCTTTTGGTAATTTAACTTCTGCTTTGAATGGAAGTGAATTTACTTTGTTTGACATGTCAGCTTCTGCTTTTTTCTACCACTATTTTGTATGTAGAACACTGTTTTGGAGAAGCAGTTATGAGGTGCTTTTGCTTTTAGCTTTTGTGAAAATTACTTTAACTACAAGTTCCCAAACACCATCTAAAGAGGTTTAAAAGACGGTGTGTCTCATGAATTTGTTGTAAGAATCCATTTCTTTTTGCGATGATGATGTCTCTTTCTTTATTAGATGAATCAAAATCTCCAACTATTAGAGTAGAAACTTCTTCCACTATGGAGATGTTATAATTTCTCGAGTCTCTAATTTTTCTTCTCAACAAAAATGGATTATATTATTTCGTTATTTAAGAAAACAATATTTGAATACCATTTATTCATCTGTTTCAAATAATTTCTAGCCACATATATATTTTTTATTTTGTACATCAATATAACGTTTGCTTATTTTTTTTCAAACTCAAATTGCTAGTGATTTTTTAAAGAGTGTAGAAGGTATATGAAAATTAATGTTATGTTCTAGGATGGTAATATTGTTTTGTATTTTTATATAAATAAGGCATGTCATATTTTAAAAAGGCATTACAGACCATATATAACTTTTTTGCCCTTAAATATTCATAGTATTATCTTTAAACACAAAAATATTAAACATTTTTTATACGTTTTATCCATTAAAAACTTATTATAATCTCCAAATTCTCTGTATTTTCCTATAAATAAAGCGTGTACCATATAAGAATATAACATTCAATTTTTAAAGGCTCATTTCAATCTTAAACACAAGGATATTTTATCAAAATACAAATAGTTACAAATCGAAAATTATATTTTCTCTTTGTAATTTAGTTTCAATCTTATTAGCTATTTCATATTGGAAATGCTTTATTTCATATCATAATTAGTCGTCTTTTAGTCAAATCATATGGAAATGCTTTATTTCATATCATAATTAGTCGTCTTAGCATAAACAAGAAATCTAGGTAAGTTAGCCGATTTAAGATACGGATTGAGTCAACCTCAAAGTATACGTATTATTCTATTTGTCAAAAGGTGAGATACATAATCATGACACATGTCATTCTCTTAGAAATAAGTTAAGATCAAGTGCAAGAAATTTTGGGTGAAAAATACATGTGACTATTTTTACATGATAATTTTTAAAAATATTATGTGAAAAAATGTAACTATATTTATTTTGTGTCTGATGGTGTAAATTACCACGCAAATATTAAGTGTGAATAATCGGGAGGGTTGTAGGTGGAATCACCTGTAACCCGGTTTGTTATTAATGATAATAGGAGTTATTACAAATACAAGCCGTGTAGGTTAATTATAACATGCCTCACAAATGAGGCTTTTAAGGGTATTTATAATAATCCTAAGCACGTCAAGCACGTCTCTGATTATTCAACCGGTCAGGCAGCTGGCCGGCCCACCAGGTACACTTGAGTAAATCTTCGGGTATTGGCATCTGGTCTCCTCATCCAACCGGTCAAATAACCCGGGCTGAAAAAGACGTGTGCTGTTCGGTGAACCAACCGGGTGGTATCCTTGGGTTATTACCCATCAAGGAGTCCTCCGATTCCCGGTCCTGTGGGGACCATCAGGGGCGAGAAGCACATGCGATCATTTCCTGGAATTTGAACAGCCCAGTCGCTTTTCGGCGGAGAAATCGTCTCGGAAAACCAGCGCCAACCCAAAATATTTGAAATTTGAATTTTGAATTTTCAAAAAACGGTTGTCCAAAGCGGGAGAATCTTCTCGAAGTCGGGTACAGAGCCGCCGATTTAACGTGCCGTTTCGTCTCCCCGAGAGGTTATGATTGCAAATCATTTCAGCCGCCACGTGTCATTTCTTCATTCGCCCGTCTGGGCGGCATCTCTCCTATATAAAGCGTCGTTCTCCTTAGAATTTCCTCACTTGCAAATCTTCAATTCAAAACCTGCCCGGCTGCTTCTACTATTTCCGAGTCCTCCGAGTCTTCTAATCGTCTCCAAGTAAGTTTCTT